GGCGATCCATTTGTGAGATGTCAAATTGAAGTTATTCAACAACCCCCCCCCTCCGATCCATGTCAACCATCTCCATGTGGCCCCAATTCCTTGTGTAGAGCTGTTGGAGATCAAGCCTCTTGCAGTTGCCTTCCTGAAATGATTGGAAGTCCACCTCAATGCAAACCTGAATGCATTAGTAATTCTGAATGCTCTAGTCATTTGGCATGTATAAATCAAAAGTGCAAAGATCCATGTCCAAATACTTGTGGATTAAATGCTGAATGTAGAGTAGTTAGTCATACTGCTATGTGTTATTGTTTGGTTGGATATTCCGGTGATCCCTTTAATGGATGTCAAGAAATTCGACAAGATTATCCAGTTGAAGTTTCTACTCCTTGTTCACCCAATCCATGTGGAGCAAACGCTCAATGTCGAGAACAGAATGGAATAGGAGCTTGTTCATGTCTCCCTCAATACATTGGAAATCCATATGATGGCTGTCGACCTGAATGTGTCTTGAATTCTGATTGTTCTTCTCATCTCGCTTGTATGAACAACAAGTGTAGAGATCCTTGTCCCGGCATATGTGCTCAAAATGCTGTATGTCAAGTTGTGAATCATCTACCGTCTTGTACTTGTATTTCTGGATATGTTGGTGATCCATTCAGACAATGCACTTTTAAACAAAATGAACGTAAGGAATCAAATATTCTTAACATTTCAAATATTTATTCAATGATCTAACAAATAGAATAATAGTAGTTCTTCGTCATACACTTACACAATGTCAAAATAAATTGTTATAAAATAATGTAACCTATAACCATGAGGGGGAAATTCTAATATTTCTAATGTCATGAAACAAATAATGCATAACTCCTTATCTCTTGTACAAATAGCTCTAATACCAACATATGTCAACCCATGTCAACCTTCACCTTGTGGTCCCAACTCCCAATGTAATGAAGTTAACAACCAAGCTGTTTGTAAATGTCTTCCAAATTATGTTGGAAGCCCTCCCGGTTGTCGACCCGAATGCGTTGTCAGTTCCGAGTGTTTCCATAACAAGGCATGTTCCAATCATAAATGCGTTGATCCATGTCCAGGAACATGTGGGCAAAATGCAAAATGTAAAGTTAATAACCATAGTCCTGTTTGTTATTGTGAAAATGGTTACACAGGAGATCCATTCTCAAGATGTTATCAACAACCACGTAAGAAAAACACCAGAGAATTCTTTTCCATATTTCTACATATCTTTCTTTGTCACAGCCCCTGTCATTCCACCACAACAAGATATCTATCGAGATCCATGCAATCCTTCTCCTTGTGGTCCTTTGTCTCAATGCCGTGATATAAATGGAACACCATCCTGTTCATGCTTACCTTCATATATGGGATCCCCCCCAAACTGTAGACCTGAATGCTCCATCAATTCGGAATGTCCAAGTAATAAAGCTTGCATAAACGAGAAATGTCGCGATCCCTGTCCAGGCTCTTGTGGAATAAATGCTCAATGCAATGTGATAAATCATACTCCAGTTTGTACATGTTCTGAATATGACACTGGCGATCCGTTTACAAATTGTTACCCAAAACCTCCACCACGTAAGAAATATCTTTACTTTGTTAACTACATAAAATATGAACCTCATTTTCATTATGTTCAGCAAAAGAACCTGTTTTTGATGATCCATGTAATCCATCTCCTTGTGGAGCAAATGCAAATTGCATTGATGGAACTTGTACGTGTCTACCAGAATATCAAGGAGATCCCTATAGTGGCTGTCGTCCCGAATGTGTTCTTAATAATGAATGTAGTCGTGATAAAGCCTGTATAAAACGAAAATGCATAGATCCATGTCCTGGCACTTGTGGACAAAATGCAATATGTGATGTTATGAACCATATTCCAATATGTTCATGTCCACAAGGAATGGCAGGAAATGCATTTACTCAATGTTCTCCTTATCAATGTATGTATTCCTCCAAAATGCGAAAAATTTCTCTTCTCCAATTTATGTAAATATGTTAAATTTGGTTCTTCTTCAGTACCTGTCGAGAGAAACCCTTGCCAACCATCTCCATGTGGTCCAAACTCTCAATGTCGAGAAATTAATGGACAAGGTGTTTGTTCATGTGTCCCTGGATACAAAGGTTCTCCTCCTTCATGCAGGCCTGAATGTGTTACGAATAGTGACTGTCCTCAAAATGAAGCATGCAGTAATCAAAAATGTCGAGATCCATGTCCTGGAACATGTGGAATTAATGCCAAATGTCAAGTCAGAAATCATAATCCCATATGTAGTTGCCCTCCAAGATATTCAGGCGATCCATTTGTGAGATGTCAAATTGAAGTTATTCAACAAACTCCACCCTCCGATCCATGTCAACCATCTCCATGTGGCCCCAATTCCTTGTGTAGAGCTGTTGGAGATCAAGCCTCTTGCAGTTGCCTTCCTGAAATGATTGGAAGTCCACCTCAATGCAAACCTGAATGCATTAGTAATTCTGAATGCTCTAGTCATTTGGCATGTATAAATCAAAAGTGCAAAGATCCATGTCCAAATACTTGTGGATTAAATGCTGAATGTAGAGTAGTTAGTCATACTGCTATGTGTTATTGTTTGGTTGGATATTCCGGTGATCCCTTTAATGGATGTCAAGAACTTCGACAAGATTATCCAGTTGAAGTTTCTACTCCTTGTTCACCCAATCCATGTGGAGCAAACGCTCAATGTCGAGAACAGAATGGAATAGGAGCTTGTTCATGTCTCCCTCAATACATTGGAAATCCATATGATGGCTGTCGACCTGAATGCGTCTTGAATTCTGATTGTTCTTCTCATCTCGCTTGTATGAACAACAAGTGTAGAGATCCTTGTCCCGGCATATGTGCTCAAAATGCTGTATGTCAAGTTGTGAATCATCTACCGTCTTGTACTTGTATTTCTGGATATGTTGGTGATCCATTCAGACAATGCACTTTTAAACAAAACGAACGTAAGAAACCAAATATTCTTAAAATCTCCAATTATTTATTCAATGATCTAACAAATAGAATAATAGTAGTTCTTCGTCATACACTTACACAATGTCAAAATAAATTGTTATAAAATAATGTAACCTATAACCATGAGGGGGAAATTCTAATATTTCTAATGTCATGAAACAAATAATGCATAACTCCTTATCTCTTGTATAAATAGCGTTAGTACCAACATATGTCAACCCATGTCAAACTTCACCTTGTGGTCCCAACTCCCAATGCAAAGAACTTAATAATCAAGCTGTTTGTAAATGTCTTCCAAATTATGTTGGAAGCCCTCCCGGTTGTCGACCCGAATGCGTTGTCAGTTCCGAGTGTGATCATGATAAAGCATGTTCCAATCAGAAATGTGTTGATCCATGTCCAGGAACATGTGGACAAAATGCAAAATGTAGAGTTAATAACCATAGTCCTGTTTGTTATTGTGAAAGTGGTTACACAGGAGATCCTTTCTCAAGATGTTATCAACAACCACGTAAGAAAAGAACCAGAGAATTCTTTTCCATATTTCTACATAATTTTCTTTGTCACAGCCCCTGTCATTCCACCACAACAAGATATCTATCGAGATCCATGCAATCCTTCTCCTTGTGGTCCTTTGTCTCAATGCCGTGATATAAATGGATCACCATCCTGTTCATGCTTACCTTCATATATGGGATCCCCTCCAAACTGTAGACCTGAATGCTCCATCAATTCAGAATGTCCAAGTAATAAAGCTTGCATAAACGAGAAATGTCGCGATCCCTGTCCAGGCTCTTGTGGAATAAATGCTCAATGCAATGTGATAAATCATACTCCAGTTTGTACATGTTCTGAATATGACACTGGCGATCCGTTTACAAATTGTTACCCAAAACCTCCACCACGTAAGAAATATCTTTACTTTGTTAACTATACAAAATATGAACCTAATTTTCATTATGTTCAGCAAAAGAACCTGTTTTTGATGATCCATGTAATCCATCTCCTTGTGGAGCAAATGCAAATTGTCTTGATGGAACTTGTACGTGTCTACCAGAATATCAAGGAGATCCCTATAGTGGCTGTCGTCCCGAATGTGTTCTTAATAATGAATGTAGTCGTGATAAAGCCTGTATAAAACGAAAATGCATAGATCCATGTCCTGGCACTTGTGGACAAAATGCAATATGTGATGTTATGAACCATATTCCAATATGTTCATGTCCACAAGGAATGACAGGAAATGCATTTACTCAATGTTCTCCTTATCAATGTATGTATTCCTCCAAAATGCGAAAAAAATTCTCTTCTCCAATTTATGTAAATATGTTAAATTTGATTCTTAGTACCTGTCGAGAGAAACCCTTGTCAACCATCTCCATGTGGTCCAAACTCTCAATGTCGAGAAATTAATGGACAAGGTGTTTGTTCATGTGTCCCTGGATACAAAGGTTCTCCTCCTTCATGCAGGCCTGAATGTGTTACGAATAGTGACTGTCCTCAAAATGAAGCATGCAGTAATCAAAAATGTCGAGATCCATGTCCTGGAACATGTGGAATTAATGCCAAATGTCAAGTCAGAAATCATAATCCCATATGTAGTTGCCCTCCAAGATATTCAGGCGATCCATTTGTGAGATGTCAAATTGAGGTTATTCAACAAACTCCACCCTCCGATCCATGTCAACCATCTCCATGTGGCCCCAATTCCTTGTGTAGAGCTGTTGGAGATCAAGCCTCTTGCAGTTGCCTTCCTGAAATGATTGGAAGTCCACCTCAATGCAAACCTGAATGCATTAGTAATTCTGAATGCTCTAGTCATTTGGCATGTATAAATCAAAAGTGCAAAGATCCATGTCCAAATACTTGTGGATTAAATGCTGAATGTAGAGTAGTTAGTCATACTGCTATGTGTTATTGTTTGGTTGGATATTCCGGTGATCCCTTTAATGGATGTCAAGAAATTCGACAAGATTATCCAGTTGAAGTTTCTACTCCTTGTTCACCCAATCCATGTGGAGCAAACGCTCAATGTCGAGAACAGAATGGAATAGGAGCTTGTTCATGTCTCCCTCAATACATTGGAAATCCATATGATGGCTGTCGACCTGAATGCGTCTTGAATTCTGATTGTTCTTCTCATCTCGCTTGTATGAACAACAAGTGTAGAGATCCTTGTCCCGGCATATGTGCTCAAAATGCTGTATGTCAAGTTGTGAATCATCTACCGTCTTGTACTTGTATTTCTGGATATGTTGGTGATCCATTCAGACAATGTACTTTCAAACAAAACGAACGTAAGAAATGAAATATTTTTAACATTTTTAATTATTCATTCAGTGAACTAACAAATAGAATCTGTTTACACATATGCTGAATAACTTTCATCTGTTTATGGAATTAACCTATTATCTGGTTAAGTTCTCCAAAGTTAATATAACTTATTGATATAAGTATATACATGACGGCGAATATGTAATAATACTAATAACTTGAAACACTTGATAATAACTCGCGATTTCTCGTATAAATAGCGATTTTACCAACATATGTCAACCCATGTCAACCTTCACCTTGTGGTCCCAACTCCCAATGTAATGAAGTTAACAACCAAGCTGTTTGTAAATGTCTTCCAAATTACGTTGGAAGCCCTCCCGGTTGTCGACCCGAATGCGTTGTCAGTTCCGAGTGTTTCCATAACAAGGCATGTTCCAATCATAAATGCGTTGATCCATGTCCAGGAACATGTGGGCAAAATGCAAAATGTAAAGTTAATAACCATAGTCCTGTTTGTTATTGTGAAAATGGTTACACAGGAGATCC